TGAAGCATATAACAACTGAAACGTAAATATGGCAATAAAGATGAGGCTAACAATTCGAACAATGTAGTAAATAATTCTCATCTCAGAATTAGAGACAAAAACTGGGGACAATTCTTTGATCATCCAGAAGGCTGTTGACATCAACAAGCATTGTGTCTAAGGAGGGGTAGATGAATGGAATATTTACAAGTCTTATTCACCTTTCTGTTGTTTGTGCATTTCTTCAAATGAATCAGAGTATGTAATTTTTTTTTTTTTTAGTACTACCAGACCCAGAAATTGAACTCACCACTTATCGGAAACCAGATATGTTTTAACCAGCACTTTAATCCACTCGGCCACTCTTCCTCTGCTTCCATGGAAGAAATGAATAGGTGAAAAGAAAAGAAAACAAAGATAGGAAGTTGTGGAAAGTTATGATTGCTCACATCCTAAAAGGATATGATGAGTATTAACCCTTTGACCTCTGTGTTCCAGAACAAATTTAAACCCTTCTGCCGGAGTTCCAGAGTCAAAATTTGCATATAATTGGAAATGTTTCATGGTAGATATAAAAATAGTTACAGGTGTTTACCAACCCAACCAGTGGCTGGACATTACGTCATTTTTTCCTACCACTGTTCAACTCATGGCTGGGCTGAAAGGGTTAGTGATATGAAATATCCACTAAGCTTTCCGGATGTTTGAGACATTTTTCTTTTAAGAGAGACATTTATAACAGTCCTAGATAATTGTAATTTTAGTATACCATTAATATAAATCTAATAAGTTGTTATTCCAAACAGAATGAGACATGGCTGTAACATCTCTTTGAACCCACCTTACTAAACACTGCTTGTCAGAGCTGACTAGTTTGTAGAATACAGTCTGGACGTAAAGAAAAAAACATGATAGACTGCTTATGAAAACAACATCACATCGGTTCTGGTTCAGAAAATTCACAATTTTCTGGATGAAGACTGTTGTATGTCTATAAAGACAATAAGACTACAGTTTGGATTTAGTGTGGCAACTGTACACAGAATTATTCATGAAGATCTGAACATACACAAAGTTTGTTTTCAAGATACTCAGTGATGAACAGAAAGAAATATATGTGTTGGTGAGATAGCAGGGATGAGATGGTTGATGGACATCAAAACTGTCCCTCAGTCTCCCAACAGTCCAGACCTTTTCTCTTTGTGACTTTTCTTTCTTCTTCAAGCCTAAGGAGAACCACAGATTCAGTCATTTTGAAGACACTAAGATGATGAAGGAGGCTGTGATAAGGATCCTGGACACCTTCACATTGGATAATTTCCATGGGATCATCACAAAGTGGTTGGAGCACTACAACAAGTGCTTTGAAGTGGGAAGATCCAACTTTGAAGGAGATTAGAGTTTTGTACTTCTTTGAAATTAATAAATGTCTCTCCTGAAAAAAGTTTGAAAATTTCAGGAATGCATCTTGTAGATTGAATAAATGATGCTGTTCAAAATTCCCATAAAGCTAGAGAAAACATGATGAGGAAAGAGGTCTTGGAGAATTTGACACTCAAAGGACATATTGAAGTAAAGAGGGAATCAATGAGTAATCTACCTAACAAGCTTGTGTAAATGGATGGTAGATCAGGAACTAGGAGTGATGGTGAAAATACAAACCTTACAAAGAGCTACAAAGGATAGGAAGTTGTGGTGAGCCATGATCACCCATGTCCTGAGTGGATACGGCATATAGAAAAAATACTGACAATGGTCCACAAAACAAACAACTCTGTGGATTAAATAAAGTGTTCGGTTTAAAATTCCAAGAAGATTACCAAATTCAATACCTGAAGAAGGCTGAATGGTACAGCAGTTAAAACGCTGGAAGTACCGCAACTGAGATGAACATCATCAGCACCATCAGTCACATGACTGGGTCTGGCTACAGAGTCACTGAGCACCTGACTAACTTCTTTCATATATCTCGGTTGTGTGCTAATAATGGCTGAGTCTCTATGGATTACAACTTCCTCTTGTTGATGGTGGCTTATAGCCACATCACATTGAATCACCAGTTGATGTATGATCACCAATTAAGCAACGTTTAGCCTGGTCAGCACACCTAGATGGTTGACCTTGTGTCAATGTCAGTGCAGACATTGTTACTATAAACAACGTTGACTTGTGAAAATTTGAAAACTGTCAGTATGTCAGATTTCAATTCAAAATATCACCTCAACTGTTTTTTTTAAAATATAATAACGAATTAAAAAAATTGTAACAATTGATGTCTAACCAATCATAAATGTAGACAAACATCCAAGCTATATATAAATTTGTTTTTAATTTTTTTTATAAATTTGTCATTTTAAAACAATATATTTGATACAAAGTTTGTTTGTAATTTTTTTTATTTTTTTTTTTTTTTACAATAAGATTCATCCAGTACAAGGCCCGGGAGCCACTGCAGGTAGAGGATTACATTAAGAGGTAGTTTATATGGAAAGGAGGGGAAGATAACAGTTAACTCTAGATTTGAACAGGTTAAGATTCTTCCAGAAAAGGAAAGGTACTTCCTGGGGGAATGGCCTCCTGGGGATTGAGCTTAATATTATTTTGAAACATTCCCAGCAAAAATGCCGCAAAAATATAACAGAAAAAAGCCATTTATCATGAAGAGGTTTTAAAGAAGAAGAGAAGATTCAATCATTCTTCAAATCTTGCAGGATATATAATGAAGAAAAACAGCTCAGAGAAATTAACACTCACAGGACATACTGAAAGCAACAGAAACATTGGAAGACAGCAAGTAACCTATTTAATGAGTTTTCAGTTAATAGATAACAGAACAAAGATATGAAGTTGTGGAGAGCCATGATTGCTCACGCTCTTAAAGAACACAGCATGTAAATGATGACATGTCTGAAGTGAAGTACTATCATCAATCAGAGATTAATTTGAATGAGTATCCTCATCTTTATTTTGATAGCCACTTTTTGGCCTAGGGGATCAAATCTAAAGAAATATGTGTTATTTGGCTCACTAAGAAAAAGAAAAGCTTAAAAAAAAAAAAAAAAAAAAGAAAGGACAAAAAAAAATTCTTGATACAGCAAAAAAACAAAAAAAAAAAAAAAAAAACAAAAAGGCGGGAAAATGAACTGGTGAAAATGTGATCAAAACAACAAAGGTTAGGATACTAGTTTGAATAATTCACTGAATAATTGTTTCTTCTACTGTTTTTGGTGGAGGAACGACTAAAGTTGTACAATGAATTCATGCAGAGAGAACATTTTTCCCACGACTTAAACAAATGTGTATATGTAATGAGTGATCAAAAGCTGTATTTTGCCATTAACATAATAAGGAAAAAAAAAGAAACAAATAGCCAGTAATAGTCACAGATGTTTCAGACCCAAGACAAGTTTGACACATTTTCATTGTATAACTCTATGCCCACACGCATGTAATTATTAAACTAAAAAATAATATTTTAAGTTTTAATCGAGGTTACTGTACATTTTTTAAAAAAAGATGTATTAAGTATGGCTATATGTTGAATAATAAGATTTTTGTTAGTGCTAGAATTGATATCATAGTGTTAGTTGCATTTTGGGAAAAAAAGTTTAACAAGCACATTTTTTTCTAAATTTAAAAACTTTTTTTTTTTTACATGAAAATTTTAAAAGAAAAAAAAACAAACAAATGGACAATTGAGATTTCTCATTTCTATTTTGACACCAGGGTAAATTGTTATTATTATTTTTTAATTTTAAAATTCACCCAATACAAGGCTCAAAAGGCAGTCAAGATAGAGTTACTGTTAAAAGGATAATGAAGAACGAGGTGTGTGATATGAATGAAAGATGTGGTAGGAAGTGAAGATTATGAGGATAAAGATGATAGCAATTGACCCTTGACTTGAAGCAGTTAAGGATGCAGTGTCCAGGGAAGCATCCACACAGGAGTATTTCCATAAATGGTGATTTGATTCCATGGAAGTATCATAGCGTCTCCTAACTGTAAAGGTCTGAACGAATGGAGATTATCTAAACATATTTTTTTTTAAACTTTTCACCCCAAGCAAGGTGGGAGTGCCACTAGCAAGCAAGGGGTTACAGAGAGTGGTAGTAAGAGTAAAGAGGCGTGATAGAGGAAAGGATGAAGAGAAGGACAGGGAATAGATCAAGGCATCTGGAGATGCTGATTAACATTGCATTTGAATAGTTGGAGATTATACCTAATAGCTATCAGGGAAGCAAGTAAGAGGAAGGGAGTTCCACAGACGGGAAGTGCGAGACATGAAGCTATTGAAGTAGAGGAGACAGATACAACATGAAAAGGGTGGGACTGAGATGCCAACTTAGTGGCATGTTTAAATTCATGCAGTTTGGGAACTAGCAAAAACAGCTCATCGGAGCAGTTACCATGAAAGTATTTGTAGAAAAGACAGAGGGAAGCGACTGCACGTCTGTGAGAAAGTGACTGTACACCAGATGCCAGATCAGGGCCTACCATATTGCATATCCAATGCTGGATTTGTTGTGAAAAATAGCAGCAGGGTAGCGATAAGCTTGCAAAGTTACAGTGAGAAAGTGGAGACACTTAAATAGTAAGTTCAGTCTTATTTCTTAAATTAATATTTTTTCAACTTTTATTACTTTTTCATACTAAAGCTCACCAAATACAAGGTCCAAGAGTCACTCAAGGTAGAGTAGATCACTGAATGGGGTGTGTGATGTGAAGATTATGAGGATAAGGAGGATAGATAGCAATTGGCCTTTCAGTTGAAGAGATTAAGATTATAATATTCAGGGAAGTAATCAGGTGGGAGCCTGTTCCACAAAGTGGCAGTTCTTGGAAAAAAGCTGAGGCATTTTAATTACTATAGATTAAAAAATGACCTTGGATAGAATGATTTTGGTAGAAGAATTTTGATTTAATCCTTGGGGGAAAAAAGAAAATGATATAACTGAACTTTCATGAAAATCTGTCATGGACAATTAATAACACAAGAAAGAAACAAAAAAGGTAAAATTTTAATTTTTACTAAATGTTGAAAGAGAAAAAAAAAGTAAAAAAGGGGAAGAAAAAAAATGCCTGTCCCCAAACCCCTGAACCACTTGATTTCTTACCTGACCATCATTCTGTATAAGCAGTGCTTGGACATCTTCATCTTCAATATCGCAAATTTGGTAAAACATCTGACGGAAAGGTGGCAAAACATCCGCTCTGAATTTGTAAGTACTCTGAAAAGACAAAAGAAATTGTCTTTCACAAATTAAATAAAAAAAAAAAAAACAAATACAAGGAAAAAAAGAAAAAACTATCTACTCAAAATTATCCTGCAAGTAAAAGTCAAGGGTCATAAATCATCTAAAAGAAAAAAAAGTCCTAAGAAATCCCTTATGTGCAGATTTCGTCTGTCCTTCTCCGTAATCTAATTCTTTATTGAATTTTAGAAATTTTGGCTTCAAATTTACTATAGTTATCATTCTTATATTGTTGGGTATGGTCACCTATACTTACAAAAATCTACATGTTTATACATATACAAAAATATTCAAAATTCTTTTAAAAATATTGGTGTTTGATGATTTGTATTAAACTTTTCCATTTATGATTAGTAAATATAGTTTTCACTTAATATCATCTGAAATACAGAATTTTAAAAGATTTGAAACTTAATAAATTTTTCTAATTAAAATTTTTAAAAATAAAAAAATTCTCATAAAGATTCATTATTCATCAAAAAAAATATTTTTCTTAATACGATAATGTTCTTAATAAATTTTTTTTATAAAAACAATTAAAAACTTTTCCAATTAAATAATGTCATAATTTTATTGCATTTTTTTTATTTTGCAACTCAGTGCAGATTTTTGCTGAATGGTGTTCCTGTTTGACAAAAATAAACTGATGATTTAAATTCTCCAAGGAGTTCTGCTTCTAATATTGTTATAGTGGAACACGCCTATTCTATAGTTAATAGACTCTCCCACCTATAATAAGGAGGAGTAGTAAGAGTAACGTAGGAGTCGCTCAGTGAGTTCGGTTAGTCAATCGATGCCGACAACCATTAGTCGGATACTAAAGTATCAGCGACCACAAACTAGATTACTCTGCGTCATACCTATTATATGAAGTTCCTAACGTTTTGTATGTTGAACCTATTTTAGGACTGACTTAGTACAAATACAAGCCTCCACTGTGAAATCACTACATAACAAATATAAATTTAAATAGGGTCAAATTTTAATTTCATGAAATTTCATAAAACTTTTTTTTTAAATAATTTCATTCATTTTTGAAGAAGTCCTGAAAATTAGATTTTTGCAAGAATTTCCAAAACAATGTGTTTTTTTACTGAAAAAAAAAAGATGCTAAATTTCCTGATACTAATCTTAGACCCACATGCTGACACAAGAATATGATTTTTCACAAAGATTTTGAATGTGCTAGAAATGATTAAAAAAGTTTAATAAAATAATAATAATAAAAAAAAAACACTGTTCTTTCCTCTTAATAATAAAAAACATTTTGATGATAAAAACGTTTTTATCAAATTTGGGGTGTTCTTTCATGGCATGCTCGTTTTTGAATATTTTTTATTATACCAGGTGTAACAGCAAAATTGTCCAAATCGTGTAAGAGCATAATTATCCATCCAATAAAATATTTAATATCTAAAAAGCCACCGAACTGAGTTTCTTTTTACCAGGTTTTCAAATAAGACGTTTAGCCATCTTGCTACAATTTCTCATAAGAATCACTGAGGTATTCAGCTAAAAAGAGAGCAGGTTAAAATTGTTTTGCGTCAAACTCATTGTCTTCTGAACTGAGCAATGATGAGAGGAAAAAATCATTCAGGCCTTCAGTAATGGTAGCAACATTCATACACTGGCTTCCATCTTTAAAGTCCCTTCAATAACCATCAAGAGAATGGTGAATAAGTTTAAAAAAAGAGGAAACAGTAGAGAGAAAAATTGGATCATAACAGGAAGACGGATCATCATTTCAATTTAGAACTAAAGAGATCAATTAGAAAAGATCCAACTCAATCTATAAGACGTTTGGCATGTGAGAAAGCAATTTCAGCTATGACAATCCAAAGATCAGTGACAAAAAATCGTACGTAAAACCTGTGAGGCACCTTCTTACTCTAAAACAGAAAGTTAGAAGGTTAGAGAGGACAAGAATCATTCTGAATAAGTTGTAAAGTGATCATGGAATTATATATATATATATATATATATATATATATATTTACATAATGACGAACATGTCATTTCTGTTTATGATTCTTCTGCTAAGCGTGGAGAGTAATTATACATTTTTATTGTTCAAAGGAGAGTCCAATAGTATCATAAAAACCTCAGAGAATTCCAGTAAGATATCTTTAATCATTTCTAAGATACAACGGTTCAGAGCTTAATTTAGCAATTGAACAATTTTGCTTTTTACACCTGGTGTGTGTATATATATATATATATATATATATATATATATATATATATATATATATATAGTTATATATAAAATAATCATTGGCTATTCATTCTGTTAGGCTGGTTAGCCAAAATGATGGTAGAAATTTCACTTAAAAGCAGGAGAGATCTGGAACTTAAAAAGCATGAAAATGGCTTTGCCCGACCAAATGCTTTTTATCGATAAGGTGCAATGGGCTAAATCATGGCTCCCTCTGCCCAGAGAGACACAGGTTCGATTCCTGCCAGAGAGCACAAATTATTCTTTAATACAATTTCTCAAACTTTCAGGTGAAAATAAACATACTGTTTAATAAATAAATGCAATGCCTACTCAAATACAAGTATTCCATAAAAATAATGTTTAAAGTGAATACACACACACACACGTGTGTGTGTGTGTTTATTCAAAACCCACAGAGCCCTTATGTATGTATATGAGAAATAGAATGGAAGAAAATATTGTTGAAATAATATCCACCATCAAAATTATGATCTTCAAGCATTTGTTCAACTATTTCAAGATTTTACTGTTTTTTTTTTTTTGTTTGTTTTTTTTTTTGGTAGTTGACTGATTTAAGAAGTGGCTTTCTTCTGGCTACTCTGCTATTATAATAAACCATGTTTTGAAAATAGCTACTGTTTTAACTGCTGAATGATGATTGGTTTAAGAAGTGGCTTTCTTCTGGCCACTCTGCTATAACAACACCTGATAAGAGTATTGCACAATTGTTTCTTGCGCTAATTTTAGCATTTCTATTTTCCAAACATTTAGTTGCATTTCTGAAATTTTTCTCATATGTTGTTTTCTCTTTGTTATTAAACTAAAACTTTTCAGACATTTTATATAGAATTTCCTGATTCAGAAGATACCAGGAAAGAATGACTTACCCTAACATGGAGTTTCTATCAGTTTGTCCACTGGACAGCAAACAAGAGAAGCAAAAAAATCTATGGAACATTTATTTCTCTAGTGATGCACAAACTTTTGAATGTTTCAGGTAGCATCTTGGATAATATATTATATTTATTAAATGGTTGAAGAGTAAGATAAAAAAAGCTTAGCTTGGAGTGAAAAAAGAGAAGAAGAAAAGACAGAGAAAGAAGAGGAAGAAATAAAAATATTATGCCTAAGATAAACAGAAAAATGTTTACAGCAGAGAGAAGAGAGAATGACAAAAAAAAAAAGTTTAGGGTTGAGAGGAAAGAGATAAAAAGCTTAGTGAAGAGAGAAAGAGGGGAAAAAAATTAGGGTTGAGAGAAGAGAAAAAGAAAAAAATAGCTTAGGCTTTAGAGATTTGTTTGTTTGCATTTTATGGCATATCAACCACTGTGAGTTATTTAATGCCAAATCCAGTTTATATGAATTTTAAATGCCTATTTTGTATGGAATAAAAATCTTATAGCTGGCAACATTATTGTTTCAAAAACGTACAGCTGGCAACATTATGGTTTCAAAAACATATAGCTGGCAACATTATGGTTTCAAAAATGCATAGCTGGCAACATTATGGTTCCGAAAACGGATAGCCGACAACATTATTGTTTCAAAAACGTATAGCTGACAACATTATTGTTTCAAAAACGTATAGGTGGCAACATTATTATTCCAAAAACATTATCTGAGGCTGTGCTGTTGGATGTAGTTCATTGCCATACCCAGGACACAGATGTAGTTTATCATCATACCCAGGACGTAGGTAAGATCTGGAAAAACTAGGAGTTCACTATTTGCCCATAGCTGGGACCCTAACAGGTGCTACCACCCCGGGTCAAGGTGGACCTGGGAACACCAGCAATTAAGAGGCGGTTCCACGCTCCTCAAAACATCCTGATCAGAGGCCTGGCTGTTGGATGCAGTTTAACGTCATACCCAGGATGTGGCAACATTATGGTTTCAAAAAAAAAAAAAATAAAAAAACCTATAGCTGGCAACATTATTTTCAAAAACTTACAACTGGCAAACATTAGTTTTAAAAACGTATAGCTTGTAACATTATTGTTTCAAAAACGTACAGCTGGCAACATTATTTTTTTACAAAAAAAGTATAGCTGGCAACATTATGGTTTTAAAAACGTATAGCTAGCAACATTATTTTTTACAAAAAAACTTATAGCTGGCAACATTATTGTTTCAAAAACGCATAGCTGGCAACATTATGGTTCCAAAAACGTACAGCTAGCAACATTACGGTTTCAAAAACGTACAGCTGGCAACATTACGGTTTCAAAAAAGTACAGCTGACAACATTACGGTTTCAAAAACGTACAGAGGGCAAAATTATGGTTTCAAAAAACTATAGCTGGCAACATTATGGTTTCAAAAAACTATAGCTGGCAACATTGTTTCAAAAATGCATAGCTGGCAACATTACTGCTTCAAAAACGTATAGCTGGCAACATTATTTTTTTACAAAAAACATTTAGCTGGCAACATTGTTCCAAAAACGTATAGCTGGCAACATTATTGTTTCAAAAACGTACAGCTGGCAACATTATTTTTTTTACAAAAAACGTATAGCTGGCAACATTATTTTTTTTACAAAAAACGCATAGCTGGCAACATTATGGTTTCAAAAATGCATAGCTGGCAACATTATTGTTTCAAAAACGTACAGCTGGCAACATTATGGTTTCAAAAACGTATAGCTGGCAACATTATGGTTTCAAAAACGTATAGCTGGCAACATTTTTTTTCCGAAAACATTATCTGAGGCCTTGCTGTTGGATGTAGTTTATCGCCATACCCAGGACACGGATGT